GCAACAGGGTCTGTGTTTGAAAGGGACTAAGTGCTGCGTCTTGTGAGGATGTGGTGAGAAACGTAGTTTTGAGAAGTCCATCTTATTCATGACTATTCTGCTCTCCATTAGGTTTATTGCAATGTCTGAGGAAGCAGAAAGGCACCATGGTGCCAGCAACAGGCTGGGGAAAAGACTGGAGCAGCTATGCTGTGAGTGTGCGTATTGCAAGTTCAGGTTAAAAAAAACAAAAACGAATAATCGATCCTGGGTTACTTTTTAATGTTGTAAGCAAGGTATCTAGAAATACTCTGGGGTTTTTACATCATTATTAATAACTGCCTTCTCAGGCATTGACTTTCACAGCCAGTACTTCTGCACTGAAAGCCAAATTTGCTCACGTTTTTGTCATTACTCACCTTGTACCTGTTCCTTCCCTGGGGGAAGTCATGGCTTCTCCCAGTGGGGAGGGATGGGAGCAGCTGCTTTTACCTGTCAGTGCAGCAGCCTCCTGCAGTGCTTTGCTAAGGGAGTCTTAGGAAATGAGAGGAGCTGAAGCTATTCGGCCCTTCCCTGCTCTTGTGTAACAATACAAACACTCCAGCTAGTCTGTACTGACAGGTAGGAGGATTTTCTATCTACTGATTAGCTTAGCCTTGAAGGAAAATACCACAAACCGGGTTACCAACAGAGTAATTAAACATAACTAATTCCCCTGCTAACCAGAAAATGCCTCATTCTGTATAACTATTAACTTTTGGGTTGTACAAAGCAGTAGGTAATACAAGATCCTGGAGAAAAAAGAATATAAGAGGTTTCAAAAAATTTATAGCCCTGTTCTGAATGGTATCTTAGAACTTACTTGGTCACTGAGCTGCTTCTCTAGGATTCTGTGCTTCATGTGTTACCTGTTTATACTGAACTGTTTTGAGCTTTGAAAAACAAACCAGCTTCAACCATTAAGTGAAACTCGAATATGGAACAGTATTTTACTCTGAGGCCATGCAATTATCACGTTATAGTCTTTTGAATTGACCATTGACCAATTTGAATTGGCCACTGCAAGCATTATAAGCATAAAATGTGAAATAATTATTTTAAAACGTAAATTCAAAAAAGAAACCTCTGGAGGCAGAGCTAAGGCACAGAGCAGGAAGTGATTCACTCTGGGTTCCCAGAAATAAGTCTCTGACAGTTTAGTGGAAGGGTACAGGGATCATCTGACACCCCATTGTCTACGTGGAAAAAGGTTTAAACTTTCCAGAACACATAAAATAAAATTTGTGGAATGTTACTTAGAGTTTGCATCTTACTTTGTAAGTAGATTTACAGAATGTTCAGTAGACCTCTCCCTTCACCTTTTGATTTGAACACAGAACTGCTACACAGGAACAAGGCTCAAGTATCTACCAAATTACACTTTACTTATTTTGAGATACATTTACAGTTTGTGACATATGACATACCTTCATGCCCCATCTTCAGTGACTTCAGGGCAATATACCCCAGCGCATTAAGGGACAGATTCATTCCTGCAGAATTAAATTAATAAGCACAGGCATTTTAGCCTGGTATTCTTAGAGGATATGAGTATGGAATAGGAGTGAATTCTTGCTGTAATAACTTTAAACCCTTGGCTGACCACAACCAACTTTGTGTTGGGCACAGAGTACTTAACAACTCCTCATGGAAACGAACACCTCAAGACTGCCATCAGCAAGGAAAATGCTTCAAGGTGTTACCAAAGACAGGCCTCTGCTTTTTTTATAACCAAATGCTAATTAAAATGTTGTTTGCTTCCTACTAACCTTCATAGCGTGTGAGAAAATTGTTAATTACTGAGCTTCTTACTCTGTGAGAAAATAGTCACTGAGCTGATAGTGATAATGAGGGGACGGCTAGAAGTAGTTAATCACTTCAAGGTTCTCTCTGATGTCAAAACACGTACTCCTATACCAATTAAGACAGAGCTGTAGCTACTTCAAGGACCATCCTTATCATCCTCAAGAAGTTGCCAAACTTACAGTAAACTTTTACTGCCCTGAGACGACTCAATACCTTAAAAATATAAAGTGAGGAAGGGTATCCATACCCAAATGACCACCGAGGAGCTCACACCCGTGCAGAAGTGTTTTGCTGGCGCTGCAAAATTTAATACGCATATGCAAAAGGGCTGTTTGGTCATCCTAATGAATATGTAAGCCCAGGTGGAGTTAGGTAGGTGTTAGGTAGGTGGAATTACGAGAATCTTTTGTGTATAAATCATGGATGAATGATTTATATATATGTTCTAGATTTGTGGATTTCCACCTCACACCTAACGTTGAGTAAAGCAGTATCTCCTCTCTAAACTGCTTCTGGTTTCAAGAGCTTTTGTTTCAGGTTACAAGGGTAATGCCCATTTTAGACACTAAGCAGTTATACATGAGGGATATTTAAATACAAAAATCCATAGAAAACTAGACATCCTTACCTCTACATTCTTCAAGTTATACAGTGAACTTTAAAAAATCCTTACCTCTTCTGTGTTCAAAACAATCTAACTGGAAAAAATTCTGTGTAAATACTAAATTATCCCTAAGTCATTACACTAGCTGCAAAACTGTCAATGCATGACTGTACCAGCAGATTTATATAAGAAGGTCTACAAATGCAGCCTTTTTTCATCTGAAAGAATGTACATTTTGCTGCTAGTGCAGTTACGCTCTAGGACAACTCTTTATTTCTATTCCTTATTGAGTCTGTGGGTAATGCCTTCTTGTGATCATTTAATTAATAACCAGTTACATAATTAAGTAATCCATTCATTTACATTCTCTGTACTTTCTTTATATGCCCCTAAGAACTACTGGTGCCTGAAAAAGATAGTGCTATCTTTGAGTTTGAAATGATAATGCTATCAGTGATAGTTGCATTCACAGAAGAGGTAAACAGGCCATCACGGTAACCTTTCACAAAACTGAGTCCTCAGATTCTGAGCTCAGCTGACCACAGCTGTTAATTCTGATTATTCAGGGAAAAACTCCAGACTAGTGCTTAGAGAACACCTCACTCATGCAGGTAGATGGACACATTAGGAGGTGTAGTCTGACTGAATTTCTGATCCCAGATTCTGTCTATGTGTGCTTGCATTTTGCTTGCAACGTAGGTACCCTCACCAGAAAATTCCATCTGAACGTGCGGAAAAACTCCTTTACTCTGAGGGTGCCAGAGCACTGGAGCAGGCTGCCCAGAGAAGTTGTGGATGTTCCTTCTCTGGAGATGCTCCAAACCCACCTGGATGCGTTCCTGTTGAACCTGCTCTGGGTCACCCTGCTTTGGCAAGGGAGTTGGACTGGATGATCTCTGCAGATCCTTTCCAACCCCATATCATTCTGTGATTACATAGTTGAGTAACGTAATTTGCTTCATAAATTCCGAAACAGAGGAGGATGCTTCAGAAAAAGCAAAATAAATGCAGTTATTCTTCTGAATGCAAATTATCCATTTTTTTTTTCACACAAGACCAATGAGAAGGGGCAAGCTTTCTTGTCCACACTTTCATTAGGTTTTAATTAACAGAAATTTACTCTTCGCAGTTTTTTTATGCCAAGCAAACTACACCATCCCTGAAGTGTACTTACACAACTGACTTCAGCATTTCAGGGGCAATTTGAATATGCCCAAACAGCTTGCAGACACATTGTTTTGTTGGAATAACTTTAGTATTTGTGAAAGACGACTTGGGAATCTGAGCTCTGTGTTAGTGCTGGAGTACATCGGAAATGCTGGAGAACAGGCAACGTGTGCCACTTCAAGATTTTCCTGCCAGCATGCCCCACTGGTACATCCTCTAAAACCCAGCGAGGAAAAAGAGGATGCTCTTTCATAGAATCATAGAATCATTCAGGTTGGAAGAGACCCTTGGGATCATCGAGTCCAACCATCTACCCTACTCTACAAAGTCCTCCCCTACACCATGTCCCTTAGCACTGCATCTAAACAGCCCTTAAACACAGCCAGGGATGGTGACTCCACCACCTCCCTGGGCAGCCTGTTCCAGTGCCCTATCACTCTTTCGGTAAAAAATTCTTTCCTAATGTTCAGTCTAATGTTTCCCTCCCTGCCCATGTTGTACAGGCTGTGAGCAGCACTGAAAGCACTATCAAACCTACTAATGGTTTTCCTTGTAGTCGGTCAGTCATTCAATAGAGATGTTACCAAACTCTTAGCTTCATACAGTTAATTCAGTGGTTACTAACAATCGTGATGTATTTAGGATAAGAGGATTTAGGAAAAGATACAAACACCTCCAGAATGTAAAATAAGCCATTTAGGCTACCCCGTCCAAGTAGATTTTGCCATAAACTCATAATATTAGTAGCAGATATCAGCATATCTATCCTTATATTAGGAATTGTTAGTTTTTCCTCCTTTTGAACATTTCTACTGCACTAATACATAAGACCTTTCAGCTTTGCAACCCTGATGAATATAATTAATCAGTGAGATCTGTTAGAAATAAATAGCATTCTCTTCATCTGAAACAAAAAACATAGAAGAGCAGGTTGCTCCACAAACAGCAAAATTAGTGATGTCTGGTTCCATATGAATTTGGGTGACATCCCTACACCCCTCTTCAAGCCACAGTCGTCCCAGGTATCCATCCTTCCATGGTTTTCCTTTTGCTGCAGTGTGTTCAGAAGCAGGAAAATGCCACTCAGGCCCACAAGCCTCACAGAAAAGACCAAGCTTACCCTGAAACTTTTTCTTCAAAGGGTATCTTCCTCTGAGTTCTGTCACTCAATAACTCTCAATTTTCATGAAGAACTTAAATTGTCTTTGAGCTTTCTCCCTCCAGTCCAATTTTTCTTAAACTGAACAGTGGGCTCAAAGTGGGTCTGACAGTTGGATGGATGGAGTACACAGTGGTTTAAGTCTTGTTTCCTTAGCAAAACAGCTTGAAATTCTGCAACATGGAAGGAACTGACTGCAGGAAGCTCTAACTGGGACACAGTATAAGGCAACTAGTTACATGGGAATTAAAGCGGTAAGAAAATTGTTTATTGTTCAGGCATAGAAATTGTTGCTCCAACTATCATAAAATGACAAAGTTTACATTTTTAAAACCGAGTCAATATATTACATATTAGCATACCTTCAGTCTTGAGAAACAATGAATTTCAGTGCAATGAAACTAAATAGAATAAATAAAATATTAGGATCTGATACCATAATTATGTCTGCACATACATGTATTTGTATGTCCTCTATCTCCACAGTATCTAAACTCTTCAAAATGGTTAAAGACCTCTCTTCCTCCTCAGCTTTTAGGAGATGTAGCTTCATGTTAAGGAGTGTGTGTTTGTGTCTATACTAGTTATATGTATGTAACAATCTTCCGAAGAGGCAGATCAAAAGAGAGTTTGTTTATTTGTGAAAGATCATAAGCCTTGTTCCTCATGCTGTGGGAGCAAATGACAAAGTTTAAGTCCTGTGTCTGCAGAAGTTCTGTTGTGCCTGCTCTGGAACACTCCTTCATTTGCCAAGGATTTTACAGCTGTTGTAGAACTTAGAAGGGTATCATGACACCCGGGTGCTTAAATCCTATTTCACAGAAGGCTTTGATTATCAGGACAGACTTTGAAATCAAACTCTGCATTCAGTGCACAGCCAGCTGAACTCCAGGGCAAAGTTATCACCATGACCTGTTGCTAAATACATAGGCCTGCTCCGTTTTACAACTGCTGAAGTTTTTATAACATGGAGTTTTGTTCCCAAGTGTGAGTTGCAGCAATGAAATATGAAGGTCAGTGATGCAAATATTGTTGTGGTCAGGTGTAAGGCTGATAGAAAAGGACACAATGTACAGCTAGCTAGTTACAGAAAGAACATTTTTGTTATTGATAGACTTAAGAGTCAAAGAAAATCCCAGTGTTTCACTATTTGACACAGGTGGTCTGTGGTGAAGCAATCCCCTTTTCCTGAAGGCAAAAATCCAGTCCCACTTAAGCTTAGTGTCATCCAGATGCTAAATCAATGTCAGACAAGTGCTAATTTTGGCAGGCTAGTTACGATCCAGCATAATCCAGATGCTAGTTGAACTTCACCTGGATGCTAATCTTGGCAGGGCACTGAGAATTCAGGAAGAAACCGGTATTCTTCCAAATTCATACATCTGTTCAGATGGGAAAACTAAATTGCAATTTGACTCTTCAAGTGTCGTGCAGCTTTTAAGACTGAGAAATCATTACAATTACCTTAATTAAAAGGACTTCAGATATTTCAGAACATTGTTTCAGCTTTGAGGATGACAAAGAAATAATATTTGGTAACCAACAACATACGAAGTGGCAGAGAGTTGCAGCATAGTGATGACAGACGTATTTTCTTCATCTTTTGTCAAAATTAATAGAAAACACAGAGCATAATTGGTGTCTGTACTGTGCACGGGCTTATGAATGATCTGATAAATCTTCATCCACAGGTGGCCTTATAATTGATTTTTCTAAGTTCTCATGAGAATGGTTAGGTAGAAGGCAGAAGTTTGTGGAAATCACTTTTACAGAGCAACTGGGTCTTTGGCACTGTTGGGATCTTTGCACGTATTAGGTTGTGTAACTTACTCATCTATTTCAAGGAATTATGCTGTTTAGGGATAGCTACAGTGAAAGCAGAAGTAATTTCGGATAATCTCACATATTTAAGAGTAATTCTTATGTGGATATCCAGTTATACTGTCCATGCATTTATTTGTGTATATCAAATGGAGAACAGTGCAAGTGCTTGTTTAGTGAAAAGGTGTTCATGAGTGCAAGCAGAGACACATTTAGATCTTAGACCTCACATGCCCCCTGGAATTGGCTTGCAGATGTTCATAGTGATGCTTTTTCTTTGTTGTGTGGGTGTCTATTTTTGTCAAAGTTAGTTTGACAGTCCCTTCCAACCTAGAAGATTCTGTGATTCTGTGAATTCTCCTGGTGCTTATGGCTGTAAAGGCTGAACGCGGTTCTTTGCCCTTTAACAAAATTCTACAAACAGTAAAATACTCCAGATCTTTTCAAAACAAACAGAAAACAAAAATTTGTTATGAAGGCTGTTTTCTATAGGCGTTGGTCATGCTCAGCTGCCACTCCCAATTCTGCTTTTATGTACTTACAAACAGATTGCTGAATTTTACCACACAATTTTCAATATATGTTTTCAGTGAAGCCCTATTTAAAGCTTTCCAAATATATCTTTTAAATAACAGATGAAAAGTAACAAATATATCTTCATGTATATTATTATTTCAGGGTTATGTGGTTTTATCCATCAATATGATGAATAAAAATTTATTCCCTATAAAATTCCTTACTTTAATGATGCATCTAAATACATTTAATTCTAAAATCTGAAGCCTTTGTAACACTTCTTGAATATTAGAAGCCACTGTGTCATTCCTATCTCAGTGCAAAGCAGGCCGACTGGAATCCTCAAAAGTGCATCTCAAGTTATTTCTCAGTGTATTAAACTGTTCCTAAAATTAATCTTTGATTAAAATTCATAGAGCAAAATGCATCTGATTTCCTCCCTCCAGAGACATATGAGTCAGCTTAGACATTTTGGGAAGATGAGTTCTCAGCCGTCCTGTTTTAACCTCTGGTAGGTGTCATGAGCAGACTACAGGCTGCCTGCGGTTCCATCTAGCATGATCTGAAAAAGAATTTTTAAAAAATCTTGCTTATTTGAGGGTATTAATGTTTTGAAGCAATCTGGCATTTCATAATACCAAAGCAGTAGGTTAAAGTCTGGATATGGTCAGTTCCTGGTTTAGGTAAATATCTAACTAGATAACACAGGATTATTCACAAATATTTGAGCATGTGAGTAGTGAATGAAGCCTGTGACCCCCATGTCAATAAAAAAAAGCACACAACACTAAGGATTCAGATGTCTAGATAAGACAATGTGTCTGGGATGCAAATTGCTCTGTCAGGGGAACACTGTTTTAACACTTCATAATAGATGCTCAGTAAAATGTGAGAAATCCAACATATCTTCAAATAACTCATTGGTCATGATAAAGTACCCAGGGGTGGTTTGGCGTGTAATGTCTACAACTATGACTGATCTGCAAACAGTAGATACAGCTGACTAATGCCAGACATAATATCACTATCTCAGTATCTGCTTTAAAATTTCTTCTACCATTTGGCCACCACTAAATACTTACTAAAAGTTTTAAACCTCTTATAGATGAAACGAAAAGCCTTGAGTTTGTAAGAATATTAGGTCTGATTCCCCCCTGTCTCTTTCCTGATAAGTCAGCATTTAAAGCCAATCAGAGAGTTGTCTTTTATTCTCTGCTTTAGACATTACTGGTATCTGCTGAAAAGGATATAGAAACTTGGACTCCAATAAAGAAGTTAAGAATTAACTTTCCCTTGGTTTTAATCACTATTAGGTAAGTGTCTGTGTATTATATTTATGATTTGGAGTACTTAACAACTGACAACAATTTAAATTAAATTGCCAAGAAACATCAGATAAAGATTGCAGTTTTCACGAGTTCCTATGGTGTTGCTGAACAATAGTTCCTTTCTGAACTTAACTTAAAAATAAAAAAAGCTCTTGGAACATTTCAAATCTTGATAAACACCAGCAGATGACAGAGTCCTAATTAGGCCAATATTGGAGGTACGTGTACAGTGGACTAGAAAACGTGTCTAAAATAAAACAAAGGTTGCATTCTGTGATATGATACTGTCTGGCTCTCAACACCAGTAGTCTCCAAAACCCATGCAATTCTTGGTGGACTGGTATGGGACACACTATGTCTTCACCCACTATGGTTTTCTCTTAAGGCCTATGGCTACCTATGGAGAGACTTCTTGGGACTTACCTAGCCCTAGACCCCAGTGTCTTTGAATTCACCCTAATAGCTTTGAAGCGAAAATTTTGTGCCAGGAAAGAGAGGACATCTCAATCAAAACAGAAAATCCCTCAATCAGGATGAAGTTCGGAGAAGATTTAAGAGGGTTATTGGTGAGGTGCATTATAAGAAATAATGTGTAAAACATTTCTTGCCCAGTGATACTGTCATCCTTGTCCCTCACATGTACTTTTCTAGCTTCTTTGTTCCCCCTCAAAGATAAAAAGAAAAGAATTCCTGCAAAAACAGAAAAGGGAAAAGGATGGAAATCATAGGAACCATGCTACATGTAGCCCCATGTTATTCTACTACTATGACTTGACATTTCATACTGCCATGTGAAAGAAATGTCTTATGCCTCTAAAGAAGCACAGTTCTTTCTAAATACTAACAGAGTTACAGCACTTTAAGGACCTTCTGCTATTTCTGAGGACCATGATGGAAACAGTACCTACTTCTAAATGAAAATGAAATGCATTCTTTTGGAGCAAGGACAGACTCTCCTTATGACTATGAAGAAAACATGGAAAAATCTTTTAGAAGTGTCAGAAGCAAGGAGTAGTATTTTCGGAGACATCTTGCTTGCTTATGTGTCTATGTAGTGACTTCAGATCACTCACTACCAATAGCAAGCTCAGGTGCTGGGGCTCTAACAGATCCATGTTCTGGCAGGGAGACTTGTTGAGCCTGAAAGAGGTACCTTGTTTGTTTGTACCACCAGTGGAAAGAGATGGGCACCCTGCAGGAGCTGCACAGTGCCTGCATTAGAGAATTGTCTACCCAATAACTACATAAGGAATTTATGCCTATTAGCAGTGCAACTCAATACTCCCACCTGCTGAATCTGCAACTGCCTGTAGCCAATGTGCTTATAAAACAAGAGTCAGAAGACTTTGTCTGCACAGATACCTGACACAGGTGTGCCAACATACAGGAAAGCCCCAAATCCATGTCCAAAACCTAGACATTATGTTACTCAATGCAGAACACGCCCCCAGTACAGACCCAGAGCCTGCTAGGTCCTCTTCATCCACAGGGGTCAGGTACAACTCATTGCCCACCAGCAGACCCTGCTCTATAGAATACTAGGGCATTCTATGTGCCTGCCTAAGGGGAATTCTCTGTTCTGTTTGTTGAAGCAGATCTGACACACAGCAAAGAATGTACAGTGTACGAGTCCAAGGAGAGGAAAAATTAAAGGGGAGAGTCATGCAACTGCCTGAGGCCAGTGGCATTTCCCTCAGAAGGGAGCATTCTTGGTCCAAGCATTCACACGCTCCCGTAACAGTATTTTTTCATTGTTTTGTTTGTTAAATTATTTAGTGAGAAGATTTTTCATATGCGTAATAAAGAATTCTGCTCATCTTTCCCCTGCTAGATATTACAAAGACAACCGGAGGCAAACATAGTTACAATACTTAGCAGAGGAATTAATTAGCAATGAAAGAAGTGGAAGAAGAGATTTGCTTGACTTTGGTCAGCCTAGAAGTTCACTGTCTCATCTAAACTCATCTCCTCAGATCACTCTGTAATCAGTTGGAAAATGTCAGTACTTCCCAGAGAGTTATTGATCCCATCCACTCTCAAAATCTTGTTTAAACATGAAGTGTTCTGCTTCTCTCCACTGAGATTTACAGAGCAATTTGTTGGCAGACATATCCAATCTGTAACTGGCAAAATATGATCTGATAAAAATATCAGGTACAGCAACTTATTCTTTATGGAATTAATGAAATTAATGTCTCTACTTGAAAGTAAAGCAATTCAATTAAAAAGTTAAATAAATAAATAAAGTAAATGTCTATACTGAATTTGTAAAATGGTAGGAATATTTCTATTACCTTATAGACTGTCCTTGTACAGTATCCTGTGGATGTTATAGTGAAGATTTCTGTGCAAAAATTTCTTACAAAAATGTCTTGCAAACATATCGAATCATTTTAATGTTCATGATGCTTCACTTATATTTTCTTTCTTCTTCAGACTCTAGCATTAAAGATAATTCTCATCTATCTTTTCATGTCTTTTACAGTACCATGAAATATTTAGCATAAGATAGGGAACTGTGTTATTTCAGTTTAACAAGAAGGAAATTCCCTATAATAAGAAAAGAAAGAACTATTGTTCTCTTTAAGACAAAGCAGATAGAGTGGAATGAAATAAAATGCTGGCATACTTTCTAATTATATTTCTTGTAATGAAACAGTCACTGAGCTCTTGCACTTCTTAACTCTTATAGTAGTCTTAAGGAGAGTAATCTCTGAAAATGAGTTAGAACAATAAAAATAAGATGACCTATTCACACACATACTTCAATGAAAATGAAAGCTATATACAAATGCTCTTAAATATGCAGGATCTGGTCTCTTACATCAGAATGGACACTTGTATGCTGATATTTAAAACTGACCTCGTTTGCTTCAAAACCATGACGTATACTTTTCTTTCTGTTTGGGAAATGGAAGTTCCAGGGACGGGCATGTGTGAGATGTGAATGTGCGTGTAAAGTGGGACTTGGAAACCAGTAACTGAAAAATATGCCAAATTAAAACTTCATGTCTCTGAGAATAATAGATAAGATTAAGGTAAGTAGGAGATGCTAGAAGTAGGCAAAATTTTTAGAACTGCTTACTGAACATAAATGAAAGACAGATGATTAAAGTAAAAGGTCAAGAAAAAAACAGCACCTGGCACTCATATCTCAGAATCTGTTTGCTGGCTGCCATCTGAATATTTGTATCAGAAGTCTCTGTAAATCAAAATAAATATTTAATTTCTAAATCTGTGCTCCTGCACTGCTTTGACATTCCCTTTCCCCTTTTTTTTTTTTTTTCCTTTTTTTTTTTCCCTAAAAGAACAAACAGTTCTTCTCGGCAGTAATTCTGGAAAAGACTCAAGCTCCATTCAAAGTTTTCAAGTTACCAGAAACTCTTGGTAAAATCAATAGAGACTATTTAGGAATTACAGAGGGAATGTTTGATTATCTGGGAGCAATCTAGGGAGTTCTCAGGGCTAACAATTTTCCCATTTCCTAAACAGAAAAAAGGTATTTGTGAGAAAGTGTTGTATAAGAGCATCATGCTTTGTTTAGAGCACTGGATGCTACTGAAATGTTGTTAAAGAGCAATTAATGATGAGAACAAGCACTGTAAACTGCCATCTATTTGCCTAAAGGAGAAAAAAGACTTGTTTCCTTAAGTAAAGAGTCACTCATGGCTATTACTCGAACATGACTTGATTCTTGTTGAATAGTTGAAGTTGAGGAAGAGGTTATAACATCATTCAGTTGACCAGGGAAACTGATGCTATCAGTTGCAACTCAAACATGTCTGGTCTAGTCCTTCTATTTGAAAATCAAATATAGTTGGCAGCTCCTGTATCTACTGTAGCAGTTTGGCATAAGCAAGTGAATTCACCCCAGAAATGGCTTGGCGTTTGCTAGATAGAAAAGCTTTTAAGTCTGACAGCTGTTTCTGCTTTGCTTTCTGAGTAGGAAAAGTAGGATTAAGTCAGCAGCTTGCCCCTTTTATCTCTAGTTTTGTTATTCACATTGAGAAGCCTACATTTTTGTTATGTTGAAGAAAGCTGGCAAAATTGGTGTGTAAATCTTGACCTGCAAATTACCTAGTATTACCTAGTTATTACAGCTGGTCAATAATCAGTGTTTTAAATTAACCACTGCATAATTAATATCCTAGAAAACACATTATGCTTGAAGCCTTTAGTAACTATCTAACAGCTGATGTGAATGTACTCAGCTTTCATTTACGCAAGTAACAACTTGTATCTTAATAGCTGTAGGCATTTCTACTTAAATATATTGAAGAAAGCTTTAGGTAAAGCTTGACAATATTAAAATTTCTTAACCCTCATCCTTTGCCAAAAGATTATTCGACTGCTATAAAGATATGTAGATACTTCACCTGGCAAGACCTTGCATCTTAACAGTAGGTAAGTCAAAATACTAAAAGGAATTATCTTTTCTGCCTGAAAAGGTGTATCTGTAGCAGATGGAAGTTACAGTCAGCATGAAAAGAAAAACAAAGTATAATATCCATTGCTTACAAGAAAATAGCCTGAAAGGATTGTAACCAGAAAATTTCTGCTTACCAGATCCACTGCTGCTCACTTGATTTATTTCTTCATCATCTTCATCATCGCTATCGCAGCTTAGTGGCTGAAAAACTATTTCTGTCTCTGCATCTACTTGATTAGCATCTGGCTCTGGCCCAGCAAAGCTTCGCAATGCCACGAGGCGGTGGTGTATTGCTGCATACAGGTACCCAGTGTCTTTTGAGCTCGCCTGCAGAACATACAATGCATACAGTCCGAACCAAGTGCGAAAAAATCTCTATTCTTTACAGATTATCTGGCAGAAATTTTCAGAAGTAATGAAAGAGCTGTGTTTTTTCCTTTTTAATCAAAACAATCCATTTAAGATTCACACTTAATAATTCATTTCAGAAAATAAATTTAAATACAAATAATGTCAAGTTTCTTGAAGTGGTCTGAGTTTCATAATATGTAGCTGTTAGTTATTTCATCTATAGTTACAGGAAACATAAGCTTAAAAAATATTATTTGCCTTGAAGAATGGCTCAGTTTGTACTGAGTACTTGATATTCCAGACAATTCCTGAATATGACTCTAAAAGTAATAAAGCACTGAAATGTTAATATATGTATTGCAGTTTGGTTTACAGAATAAATAAGAATTTTAAAACTTAACAAAAAAATATTTGTGATTACAAAATGTAAAGAAAGAATGGATTCTGCTGCTATTGGAGACCAGAAGATGAGCATCATTGAGAAGGGTATTGAGAACTAGACAAGGCAGCATTTTACCAGCACACAAAACCTTCAAGCAGCCCTGTCCTGAGTACTGTGTTCCGTGCTGGTCATCACATCTCAAGGTTATAGCAGAATTAAAGAAAGTAAAGATAAGGGCAGCAAAAATGATGAAAGGTGTGGTGCAGCTCCTTATGAAGAGTTAAGACTCTTCAGTCTGAAGAGAAGAATGAGAAAGGGATGTAACTAAGGTTTTCAAAATTCTAAAAGTGATGGATAAACTGAATATGGTACTGCTGTCCAACGACACAACAAATGCACTAGGGTGCACTTAATAAAAGCAGTAGAGGTTCAGCATAAAATAAAATGCTTCTTCACAGAATAAGAACTTCTAGAATTTGCTGCCTCAGGAGAGAGTGGGGACAGACAGAACAAACTGAAAACAACAGACCAGAAATGTAGTAATAAAAGTTTAAAAAAAAAGAATTAGAAAAATTCAAGGACAATCATTTCATAAAATAGATAGCAAAGGAAACAAGTAGGGGTACATGACCCCATATGCCTAATACAACACTTATAGACACTGGAGGTCGATGAGATGAACAGACCATCCAACGTGGCCATGCTTCCTTGTGCTCCCGGAAGGCACTGCATTTGGCCACAGTTAGAAGTGCCAGCAGAGTACTTCTTATGGTCTGATGAAGCAAATCATCTGCCAGAGAGTACGGGAATGCACATGGTCTTCTGTAGTCCAATTCACCACTTCTATGTACCCTATGGAGTAATTTCCATCTGTATCACTTGGCAACAGGAAGAAATATGTTTTCTTTGGATTGAAATTACACATTTCAGTGTGTACAGGTGGAAAAGCTATGTGAATTGGGCAGCAGCAGCAGATCAGGGTTGCTTTCTGTGCTATCCAGACTTGCAGCAGCAAACAATTCTCTCCCACCAGCCAGGCAAAGAAGAAAGCAATTGAGAGTTCTTCAGGTGCTTCAACTATAAATGCAATTCTCAGTGGACAAATCCGAGCCCTCAATATAACACGGCTTTTCGAAAAATGTAGGGTCATAAATATGAAAAAGGCAGCTACTCAGTCTGATCATTTCTATCTGTACCTTTCTACTTACTCATTCAAAATCCAGAGTTCCTCATTTTAATCCAACACAAAGTCCAGCTTCTGGCAAGAGTAGTGGACTCACCTCCATACACCCTCTGACTTTTCATTTCTACCTCTCCATTGTGCCAGGACCATCATTAGGGTGATCACAGATTAATAAAATTAAGCTAAAAAGCTAACTTCTCAAAAATGAACAAACCAATGCAGATCAGTTCTCTAAGCTGCCTCAATCATAGCTGTACTAATTCCAACGTCACCAAAAGTGATGAGGGAGAAACAAGCATAAGGGGAGGGGGCAGGGTCAGCCCTTTGTGCAAACCTGGGTGAATGCTACAGGCCCAACCTAATGGAGTCTTGTGGACTGCCACTTTTGTAGTCACTATTGTATGACTCTTCACCCTCACTCATGGGATATCACTTTGGATGATATCCCTGAACCAAATGTATCAATCATTCATGTGACATGGGAAAACCAATTTTAAATGGCAGTTAAAAACATCTGTTGGTGTCTTGGAGGAGTGGGTTCCATTGACTACTAGCCTAGCCTGATTTACATGCCAAGGCTTTAGTGATGCCTGCCGGGTATCCCACACATTGACCAATTTGCCTTCCACACTCCAGAGTCCCAGTGTTAGTTTGGCTGGATACCAGCTATAGGGATGGATACCAGCTGCTTCAGCAACATCTGTAGAAGCTCTTCCTGCAACCCTTGCCACACACATACAATTGTCATGTATCTTGGTTTCCTAATCCATGTTTTTTTTACTCTCCAGAAGTGCCAGGACAGAATCTAAGGAATGTTTACATCTATACATGCTAGAAAAACTGCAGCACATCTGGAAGCCTAGGACATTCACAGCTGTGCAGCACAGACATCGTTAAGTCAATCACTGCTTAGAAGTGACAGACTTACAATGCTTGCATATACAACGAATGGTGCCTTGCTTGTGTAGGACACGTGACGCTTCCTGGAAGTGGTGATTCATTTTTCTTGCTCTGGAGGCTGAACCCTTCCCAGAAATGTCTCCTGGGGAAACCGGAGACATCCTTAAACTCAGGTGGATGCTCTCACTTCCCAACCTAGGACATATGTGCTATATATTTGCAACTAAGTCCACTACATTTCCATTCTCAACTTACCAGCCCTTGCTAGAGAAAACCAGGATTCCAAAGACTATTGTCTTACATAAGGTCTTACATCGGAAAATCTCTGTTCTCCTCAACTAAGAAATGGAGGTCCTACGCTGGATGGACCATTGCAAGCACTGTGTTGAGAACCTTAGCAGAAAGCTCCTGCCTTGTACTGAAGTTACTTATGAATATCTGTGTAGAATTCTTAGTGCTGCTCCTGTAAGAAAGAGTAATTGCTGCATATAACTCTGGAATTACTCCATTCTATCAGAAGAATGAGAAACAGTTTGGAAATGTCTGTCGTAAGGCCATATCCTGTCTTCACATCTTTTTTTTTTAAATACCAAGGGACAACACTTCCAACTAATTTAATAATAAAAGCCATGTAACAGCTAAGCATAGCCTGACAGAGCATAAAAATGACTGTTTGATAAAACCAAAGCGTCAGCAAGTCTGCAGAATCCTAAATGAAATGGGGATTTGGGTGCGGTTTTTCTCTCTTAGTTACCTGAATTAGAAATACTTGAACAGAGTGGTCCTCTTGGTCTGTTGCAGTAAAGCACAAGCTTTTTCTGTTTGCTCTTTTTATAACCATCTGATCCCAGAGTCGGGTGTTGAGAATCAGTCTCAAGCTGCCTTGATTTCTCATAACTAAAATAACAAGGTTTATATGATAAGTCATTGGAACCATCTTTGGTTTTACTGCAATGTTTTTCTCTACCACTTGTATACAACTAATATTTTCATGAATTACTCTTTTTAATTTGGTCTAAGCCTGACATGGTGAGCTTTTTTCTTATTATATTTTATATACCAAAATATATTAGTTTCTTTCAATACATTTGGCATACAAAACAAATAATCTGCTGAAACTCTGCAATACAGTACAAAAAGTGACAACAGAGTAAAACAACATTCCAGAAGTGACTAGAAATAGCTCCCCTGGAAAAGCAAAATCAACAAAGAGCAAACTGTCAGACTGGTGACTGAGCTAAAGAGATATTGCATTAGAAATATACAGAACCTACCAGCACATGCAATTGTGATTGTATGAACTGAGTGAAAAGTGCCCAGTGCCTCAGTCTGTAATTCAGCTAACTTTTTCAGGCAACGTTAAAAAGGTTCTCATCAACTAGACTTAAATAAAACTACATATTCAGTTTTAAATGATCTGAAATAAGCTTATTATGAACAGCAATAGTACATGTTATTTAGTGTTTTGTGTATGTGCTACTAGGTTATTTAATTCTTACTTAGCCTTGACTGCAACATCCCACAGTTATTGCTAGAAGTATCATTAAGCCTCAGGGATCCACTGCCTCTTTCAATCCAGGTTAAAGAAAGCTTATTAAATACAAAGAGCTTGCAGTTGATCTGAAAGAAAAATACATGATGGAAATTGCCAGCCAATGTTAATTTTATCAGTTCTAAAACTGTATGCTTTTATGCCTCTTGATACGGCTTTTAATACATCCCTATGCACGTATACAAAGATAGATACATAGATATATCACCATTATTACATAAAATAAAATGGCTCCCACATCTGTGCTAAATTTTCTGCTAGTCATGGAAAACATTCAGCATGAATCCCAGGTTACTTTTTCAATTATTTCATCTTTATTAACTCTTCATCTGTGATATCCATGAACACAGATGAATTTGTTACAAGTGTTCTACAATCTTATTCGCTCACTCATTAGAAACATTAGGCAGTCCAGTACCACTAACTGGGAGAGTACTACTCCAAAGACAATAAAACTTTTTAAAATCATATACATTGTTGCTATTTTCTGAGAAAATAACATTTTGAAGATGAAGAATAGCAAGATATGTCCTGCTGGACCAGAAAGATAATTGATATTTTAGATGTACTGTAAAACTAATTACTTTGGCAACATATTGCTTTTTTCCCAAGACAGTTATGTCCTAAAAAAATCTTTACTCAAATCACTTCCAATTTTGAAGTTTTAGTTACCGCTGGTATACTGTGTAGATGCTTATGAAATACAACTGCAGAATGAAGTTTTGAGCAGTCACTTACTGAAAGGGACTATAAAATGAACAAATATAATATGAAAAAGAAATTATCAGCCTACAGAACAATGGGTTAGCAGAGCCATGCCTTTAAAAAGTGAAAATTTAAAAAATAAGCTGAAGTTATTTTCAGATTGCTGCTATCTGTAATAGATCTAGATGATCTTTTCAACAACAAAACTGCTCACCATCAAGGCTTTATGAAATACACACCTGTAATACATTGTGTTCTGCTTCTTCTCCAGTTATAACTTCTACTTTATCTAACTGAATTTTCTCTACTGGCTTGGAAATACAAGCAGCTGCTGATTCAGTTAGTGTTGCATTTCTCAACAAAGCTGTTTCTGTAGGGGAAAAAAAATGGAAATCCTTTCTGTACAAGGAACATTTTTAGGAAAACAAAACTAGCACATAGGACGGCCTCAGTAACCCCTGTGACGTCTGGTATTATTTAGTATTATTAATCAGTTTTGGGCAAAGCAGTAAATAAAAGAGAAAAAGAAAAAGGCTGAGATACTGCAAAATGGCTCACCTGTTCAGCCTCATTTTGAACTGAACAAGGCTCTCTGCAGTTGTAGAGGCTTGCCCCAAGGGACAACTTGCAGAAACAAGCCCTATATAATTAGAAGTTGATTTTCCAAATGAAACCGGTCTGTCATATTGCTGTGCAGATCAATAAATAATGAGAGACACATCCCGATATTCAGAATAGTAACAAATATACAATGAAGAGTTGACAGGAACGTGAAAGGACAAGATTTGAAAGAAGCAAGATTGTTACAAAATTTTGAATATTTGCACAATCTATACATGTTTTCCACAGCTTTAATTTATTATTTTTTTTTTTTACTTGTAAGAATGTTCATACAAAGTAGGAGGTTCTAATACATCCATTAGGAAAGAGGGGTGCAAAATTTGACAAAAGGACCCAAGATAGGGACCTACTTGAGATTCCCTCACAGCCTAAGTTTACATGACTTGCCTATTAGAAAAACTCACACCAGAGTCACTAGCAACCCCTTAAATCTGTATAGAAGTTTCAATCCTACAGTTAGGATACAAATATGGCAAAGTCACAAAATACAAGCAGTCAACAGCTTAAAATTGTAGTCCACAAATGCAGTCTAAAAGGCATTCACAAAATTTACTGCAATTTTTTTTAAAAATAAATCATAATAATCTGTAAAAAGTAATAATAATCTGTAAAGCTCTATCCTTTCCTGAGTAACTTAGATTATACATTCTGAAGTTACTCCAGTTGAAATGTCATAAACCAAATTGCAGCTGCCTTCTGAACAGAGATATCGGCACATACTACAAGTGCACTAGTGACTACATAACTTGAGAATAAATTACTATTATTGACCACCACTCATTTTACATCCTCTAAGATACAGCAAACGTATAATAATAAAGCTAACTGTACTTATTTGCTGAATATGCTTACTTGTTTGTGGACTGACGTGAAAAGATGCTATGTACATGGATGTTACCTCTCCTTTGTATAAATCAGCTTCATTACACAACTTTAGATGTTTTTCCGGACTCTAGAAAAAAGAAAAACAGGAGAAATAATAACTCCTATGTAAATAAAAAGGCTATGCTACTTTATATGAAATAGAACACTGAACTATTTAATGCATGCTAGGCTGAATATTAGCAATTGTAATATCTTAAGAGTAAAAACTGACACTAATGTAATTTCAGTCTCTAGTAGATGTAATTTTATTATCATAAAATCAGAATATCATTCTTCCCCCAAGAAGAATGGCCTCTTTGTATGGATCCTGGACTAGGATTTAAATCCGCTGAAAGACTTAGATGTTTAAGTACCAGCTAATTTTCAGTTTAAGTACTTAAGCCCCAGAAGAATAGTTTAAAATTCCCAGACATCACAAACTTAACCTCAGAGGAATTAAAAACTTCCATCACCTTCAGTTTTTGCAGATGAAGTTTCTCAGGCATTTCTAAATAATTTTTTCTGGCTCCTGATAATGCTCAGTGGCTCAACTCCTACCTTACAACTAAATCCTGGTCAGAAGTCATAACCCAGACTTATGGTTGCCAAGATTTTTCACTGACAGATATGCATAGTGTTTTCATTCCACTTCTACTACAAACTGAATTTCAATTCCATTTTAAACGGTGCAGTCCTGAGCTTAGGAACCACCTTTTTGTCTCAATTTCCTTCAGGACTGGATCCATTAAGCTGTCTCACAGCATGCTCAATATAGTTTAACATGGACACTATCTAGGATGCGTGTTCAAATTTCCCCTCATCCTAATTTCTCCCATCTCTTTACAGTTATGACGGAAACTATTACAGCGTTGGAGCCCACGTTCTCTTATTTTGTCTTGTGGCTGTCCCACTTTAGATGGAACATATAAAACCCCCTTTTTCAGGTCAAAAATGAGTGAAAGAGAAGAAGGGCATACTGGCATGGGTTAGTAATTAGAGTACTTATCTAGGATGGGGAAGATAGGGATGCCTACCCCTCCTGCAGCAAATATTTAGATATTTTCTCCCCAACAGTCACTGGAATTATATTTACTCATATCTTTAAAAGAACAAGAGCAGCTAAAAAGAGTCAATCTCTGAAAAAAAATATAAGTACATTAGCCTTGATAAAAAGATTGTCAGCATTTACAGATCTCACCAAAACTCTTTCAACCATGTTTTCTCCAAACACAAAATCAGAATTGCTGCTGTTATGTACACTTCTGCCTTCAAATGACTGTATTCTGTGGGAACAAATTAACATAAGAATGTGATTTAGAACTATTTAGAACCTTGTAAAGAACATAAATAAGTTCATGCATTTACTTTACCACACCTTACATTAAAGACAAACAAAAAATAACCTAGTCAGCCAAATTCTTTGAGAACCTGAGATTGCTCTCCACATAACACTTCACAAAAGGAACAAAGAGTATCACATTGTATTTAATGAAGCAAAGAACAAGAAGCCTCCTCTTCAGGGAAGTGTCTTACTCCAGAAATTTTAATAAGTTACACCTGTTTCTGTGACGGTGTGCTCCCTCCACTCCCCAACCTGCCCTTTATGTCCCATAACCCATATCCCAAGCAATAACCATCCGTGCTAGTCACAGTGGGTGCATCTGGTCGCCATGGCTGCAGCCAGCTCAACGTGGTTTCAGGGTGACAACACCACAACAGCCAAGAGCTAACTTAAGCACAGCACTGGTACTCAACCCAAATTTGGAAGAAACTAACACCTGTGGTTGGTATACAAATATGACTAGAAGAAACTAGCATATTTAATCAAATATGACTACCCCAAAAAACAGCCCAAGAGCTATTTGAGCTGTCCTGCAGAGCAGGGGGCTGCACGCCAGGGTCTCCCCCTGGGTAAGGAGGTCTCTGAGGGTTACTTCCCAAGGATGAGAGATTTCTTGCCACAGCAAATTCTCAGGAAGTGGTTTGTAGTGTCCTAAACTTTGAAGCTTCACTAACATTATATCATAGATTGATTGAGCACATATAATCCATTAGATACAAACTGGTGACCAGGTCTGGGACTAGGATGGGATCCAGCCTTACATAGAATCCTCTCTGAGAAGGAGTTTAGAAAGCAAAGGGGGTCTTCTCTGAACCTCGACTCAACGGGAAGGTCTCCCTGACAATTCTGTCTGACCCTCTCCTCCTTGCAGTAAATAATCAAGTGTACATTGCCATTGAATCTTGTTAAAACACTGTCACATTTGCTATCAAACATTAAATTGCTTTTATATTGATACATTTATTGCTGCTTCTCTCTTATGAGTGAAGTGCATCACTCCATGCGCCAGTTCCTCTGTTTCCTTTTGCTCCACCAAAAGACTACCAACAATGAACAATTATCCCTTTATGTTGGTCTAGCCCTGATACCCTGATACCTTACAGGCACTCCTTGGTCATCCACCTAACATCCTGGAAAGGCTGAGAGGCAGTGTATTCTAATTTACACACTTTCAATTCACATAAATACTGCAAAAATGTAAAGGTATGATGGCAGATGGCTTATGATAAGGCATAACTAAAACAGGGAAGAAAGATCTTCTTTCCATTTTTCAATTACCTGTTCCGTAGATACATTTAAAATGAGAAGTGAAGAAAACTAAATACTTGCAATCCTTTGGTACTGGCCAATTATCGTTTGGAGATATAGATTTGGGAGAAAATTTCATACAGTAGGTAAATCACTTTATGTTTAGGATCTGGAGTGTGACTGGTTTGGGCAGAAGCTACAATAAAACAACACTTGTCCTTCTTTTCTGTCCCTTTTCCCTTCTTAGTGCAGGTTTTAAAAAATATTAATTTATTTTTTTGCATTGCCACCCTGAGTTTAACTTCTCTCAGCTTCTTACCTCTCAGGAGGTTTAAGAAGGTGAATGCATTTTTAAATAGCGATACAGTCACAAAGTGTAAAAAGCGCATCATTTGTGAATTACATTCAAGAATATTCTAATATAAGTAGAGTTGTGATTGACCTGCTAATTACATAGCCACTTTAAACTAACAGAATCCATTTTTTATACAAATCATTAGAAAAGTCCCAGTAAACTTCTTTGTGTGGAAGCTGTGCCTGGTCCTGGTTTTTGGAGATTTTTTTACAAAAGGCTTATAGGTTGATCATGCTTTCTGTAGAGCTTAACCACTGCATCTTTTGCTGGCAAAGGCAAAACCATCCATGTTCTTGTCTCTTTCTGTTCCAGAAGGAAAACTTGGCAGGAAGACGATCTGATATTCTGTCACAAACTGCATACTTCAGCACCACTTATCTGCTCTTCCAGATCATTTATCCCCCTTGGGAGGGCTTAACATATGTCATGCAGAGGATATTAATTATAGATTAATAGAATGGTTTGGGTTGGAAGCAACCTTAAAGGCCATCGAGTTCCAACCCCCCTGCCATGGGCAGGGACACCTCCCACTACACCAGGCTGCTCAAAGCCCCATCCAGCCTGGTCCTGGACACTTCCAGGGATGGGGCATCCACAGCTTCTCTGGGCAACCTGTTCCAGTGTCTCACCACCCTCACACTAAGTATTTCTTTCTAGTATCTAATCTAAATCTACCCTCTTTCAGTTTAAAATCATTACCCCTCATCCTATCACTACACTCTCTCATAAAGAATCCCACCCCATCTCTCCTGTAGACCCTCTTCAGATACTGGAATGCCGCTATAATGTCTCCCCAGAGCTTTCTCTTCTCCAGGCTGAACAACCCCAGCTCTCTCAGCCTGTCCTCCTAGCAGAGATGCTCCAGCTTTTGACCATCTTTGTGGCCCTCCTCTGGACCCGTTCCAACAGGTCCATGTCCTTCCTGTGCTGAGGACTCCAGAGCTGGATACAGTACTACAGGTAGGGTCTCACCAGAGCAGGGTAGAGGGGTGGAATCACCTCCCTTGCCCTGCTGGCCACGCTTCTTTTGATGCAGCCCAGGATGGGGTTGGCTTTCTGGGCTGCAAGTGCACATTGCTGGCTCATGTTGAGCTTCCCATTCACAAATACCCCCAAGTCCTTCTCCTCAGGGCTGCTCTCAACCTGTTCTCCACCCAACCTGTATTTGTCCTTGTGATTGCCCTGACCCAGATGCAGGGCCTTGTACTTGGCTTGGTTGAACTTCATGAGGTTCTCACAGGCCCATTCCTGTTAATAATCTGGGTTTGTTGCCAGAACTTTGATGATTGGCTCTAAAACTTAGTTTCTGTGTTCACAAGTACAGTATACTTGAAATCTCTTCGCATAGGATGAAGAAAATCCCAAGTACAAACTATCTCAATTTTACACTTAAGGAAAAAAATATTCTTTAACATTCTCATGCTTGATGTGTTGCTAAGAATAAGAGCAAGTAAGAAAGATAAATCAGAAAATCCATCTCTTTTCAGCCTTGAGGCCTTTCATACTTTCATACAAGTTTTGTGCCATGAATAGGGAATCTGAAGCCAGTTTAAACTAATGAGTTTTTTATCCTTAAGAAAACTCCCCACTGAAATTCACTAGGCTGCTCCAGCAGCAACTTACTGAGGATAGCGCTCCAGAAGAGCTAAAAAATAGAAACTAGAGACGTTTGAAACTAGGCAACTGTGGTCCCAAACGTTGTGCAGGAATCTTTTTCTGTGTGGCCCACCCAGTCTTGAAGAAGACTGGAACAGACTCCTTTGCAGTTTACATGCTCTCTACCTTCTTTAGGTGGGAGGGGAAAAGGAGGCAACATCATAAATGTGTTATCCATGGCCCTTGCCATTTTGAAATGTCATTCTCTCACCAAAACTGATCTCAGGTGTATGCCTGATGCTCACAACTTCCAGGTAAATAATGCTCATCAACCAGCAGCAGCAGTTTTAATACCCACAAGATAACCTGCTGGCTAACCACAGACCTAGCATTCTCATGAGCCAGTCTCCAGGGAGAGGTACCAGCCCACTGTTGCACCATTATGAGCTCTTCTAGGCATATGCAGAGGCAAGGGCACGGGGCAACAACCTAGTCCAAGGAAGTCAGCTTCCTCATGCAGAAATTCTGAAGCCCACGCTGGTCAACCCAAAGATGTTGAACCCTACCACAATCATCACAGCTAACTGTTCATCCCAGAAATAATAGTGTGTGCATGGAAGTAGAGCATCAGTTGCGGCATTCACCTCGTCTTCCAAATCAGTCCTGTATGGTTTTCTCCATGTTTTCTGGGTTCAATATGCTGACATATTTTGGAACTTCCTTAGTTTCTCTGTACCTGTTTATGAGATGCAGCAGCTATGCCATCAGAAGAGAGTTGCCCAAAGCCACAACAAAGATGACTGTAAACATTCAAAATCAGGACATATTTTGAACTCTCAAAGCTGTACGAGATGGCAAACCAAAAAAGTTTCTGGCTTTGAGGTTGCTAATGAGAAACAAACCTTCCAACAGAGATTAATTCTTGGCAGAAGTCCATCTCTTACGACGTACAGAGCTCATATCAGTACTCACAAACCCTGGCACCACACACAAACACCAGTGACCACTGTGTGGGTGTAGATGGCATGGGCTCAGTACCACATAAGACATGTAAGACAAAAGGATATGTCACAGGCCAAGTGACAAAATGGTGTAGAAATATAATAAATAAAAACTTACTTGGCTGTTCTAGAGCTAGAAAGATTCATGGTAGCAGATGACCTCTCTGCTGTTTTGGAACTTACTGCATTCTCAGCTGAGGAATAAGAGCTGTCTTCAGATAACTAGGAATAATAAAACCCGATGAATCAATTAGACCAAGCTTATGTTCTGCTACAAACTGATCTGGTAGAAGTCCTGAGTTGCTGAGGTGTGTATATATACATATATCTATACGTGGTAGTTGGCAGAGCTTCCTCCAGCTATGTACTAAGCCAGAGCCCTTAATCAAAATGCTAAAAGATTACTTCCTAAATAAACAAAATACAAAAGACCCCCGAAGCTGATTTGCCCACAGAACCCTGCTATCTGAAAGTTGAGACAGCCTGCAGAGAAAAGAAGTTTTTTCAAACACACTCAGCACAAGCTGAATAATTCGCACCATGTCAGTGATCCGTCGATTCCACTGAAACCAATATGGAAACTTCCTTGAAAATCATGCAGTGGTACAATTAATTGCCTTAAAGCAGCACCGTTTGTTTTTTTTTAATTTGAGCTGCAAACATATATTAGGCAGTAAAATTACTTTTCTTTTTACCTGAACAGGTGCTTCTTCCTTAGTTATTGGAGATACTATAGGATTTGCAGCACAGGTCAGGGCTTGTGGGGGTTGCAAAATGGCAGGTCTAATGACATTCCGCAATTGACTTTGGGACAAAGATGCTTGCAAAATACAAGGAAAACATAAATACAAAGGTTAAAAAAAAAATATTTAAACAGAAACTCTTTCTTCACGTGTCCAGCCTCTTTAACTGAAAGGTTCAAAGCATATTTAAATAACATTTATTGTTGTTGACTTGCTACATATTCTGAAAAATTGTAATCCCTTCTCAAAACCACAACTCTGCAGTGACACCAACCCCTGTTATTCTATCAGAATAAGAAGATAATGTATTATATACAAAAATATGTATATTTATACTTCTAAAATATATTTGTACTTATGTATTTAAATATATCTTTACATTTACTGCTTTCTGTCCAATCTGTCTTCTGATATTTCAAATGCAATCTTGCACCTGCAGATGCATGAAAGTAATTTTCATGTCTTCTGTAGCTGTTAGGAAGACCTTTGTGGAACTACAGTGAATAAATATTGCGATGAAAGTTACCTTCTTTTGTGCTTTTGATCAAGTCAGGGTTTCTTTGAAGAAGAGCTGAGCTCATGAATATGTTATTCTTCTTTACTACAGAACAAGAAATTTAAACTTAAATAATGAGTAATAGCAAATTGTATTCATTTATTACTATTCCAGTAGTACCCAAGCAACATTCCAACCTATCCATCTAAACAAGATCTCTGAGATAACTGTTACGATCTCCATTTTACAGGTGGGTAGACTTCAGCACAGAAAGCACCATGGGTTTTCTGGCTATGACTGAAGTCTTCTGGATATTAACAGATGTTTTAAACTCATAAAATCCTTCTTCAGCTTTGAAAACAAGGTGCTGCTGGTTTGCAAAAAGTATTGAAATGGCAATGCTATCTGCTCCAGTCTTAGGCATTTTTAAGATGAGTAAATGAGGCCCAAGAACATGGGAATAAATAAACGTGCGCTGACCTGTTCTGGTAAAAAGACCTTCTCAACTTACTATAATGATGGCAATGCACCACTGATCCTGTCACTGTTTTAATAATGATACCAAACATCAGCCATAAAATGATGGCAACAACGTACTACATCCTGTAAAATGACACAAGTCATTTTAAGTCTACACACAATCACTACTTATTCACTGCAGAAAGTGTGCAGTTGGTTGCTGTAACAATGCTGTGTTCTCTTAAGATTGTTTAGAAATCTTTTATGCCAATGTCTGCCAAGGACCTGTTTCTAGTAAGAGACTTAGACTAGGATTTAAGACCACCCCATTGTTTCCATTAGTGGTAAGAGACAGGTTCCTAGGACCTTGTAGGAAAATTATATTCCTACAAGAACCATCACCAGTAAATTGCAAGCAAACTAATTAATGTAATTACTTTAACTCCATTCTGTTTTTTCAATTTGTACCACACTGTCTAAATGCTTATTTGCAAATTACTCAAAGATTCCTCCCCAGCACTGCAGGATTCCCTAACAACAAATGTAAAACCCATTTCTTCTATTGAACTGCCAGTACTCCTCCTAAAACATTCCTTTCTCCTGTCCAAATACCAGCCTAGTCCAATGCACTGCAGCCCTGTTCTGCAGAAAACGCATTTCTGTACACTTCTTTATTTTAGCTAATACCTACTTTTCTGCATAAATATTTACTGGTTTTGCTGGATTTTTTTTTATTTGTTTTGTTTTTAATTACCTGGCTGAGAGGGAGGGAAGGTAGGAATGATAGTAAAGGAAGAAGATCTCCCTCTTTTGTGACTGAGACTTGCATCTGAAAGGATACGAGACAGAAATTATCACTTGTTTGGAGATTAAAAAAAGTTAATTTTATGGTTAGACAATTTGATATCATGCCTTCATTGGGAGTAAAAGAAATTATTGCCTGCTAACTATCAGTCTTCTGAAGTAGACTGTTAGGTTATGCCTATACTGCTGAATCAGAGACGTCTCTGAGGCCAAGTGGCACAGCCTGGCTCAGGCACACTGCTTACAGCTAGTCCACTTGGTAACAGCTCTGTCTTGCAGACCTAAAGTTGGCAAGTTCAAAACAGAATCAGGGAGTGAGCTATCAGTTAAGCAGTGCAGACAATCAAGAGCTCAAACACTCAAGCTCCCTCCTGCACTATTTTTCGGTATAGGCATACCCTAAAATTTCTACCGTATCTATGATTCTGTGTATGATCTCAATATAATTTTCAGAGTAAACCAAACTAGCTTATGTTAAATCCTCTACTTATATGAATACATCTTCATTCAGGTGTGTCACAGGACTAGATAAAACAAAATATAGTGTACACATATTAACGTCTGAATTCAGAAATAATTTTCTGGTCCCATCCATATGTGAAATACTGTGAAAAACACATCAGTCCTTCTGCACAGTAGTCTCAGTGACTTGCATGGATTTCCTATGGAAGCAATACATAGTCCTTAAAGGGCCTTCCGTATCAACTGCTGGCTGTACAGGAGGGGCCCTTCTAGAAACTGCTTTACATTTTTAGGGACTGCCCGGGGAACACCAATCTTTTCCATAACCAAGGCAAACCAGCTCTTCTCCTCCCTTGATTTGATTCAATGAAACGACACAGAATATATAGATTTTTCACTACTTTTTGTAATATTATGTAAGTATGGAATACTAATATATTTTTACCTAACAGGGGATTTATTGGAAATTACCACCAAGTTTATATCAATGTTTAAGTTTTCATGACTTGCAGCATTTCTACAGTGCAAAAACGAAAGTAATGTCTCCTTCTCTTGTTCAGCAGATGAGAATACAGAGTTATAGTAATTAAAACATGACTGGAGCTAAATGCCATACCTTTGTTAGACTGAGAGTCAGACTTCTGGAAAGTAAAAGATGAAGATCTTGCACGCTTTCTGGAATAACTAATGGAATCTAGAAAAAAGTAAATATAATGTTCTGCAAGGACAGACTGGCAGGAGATTTCAGCACAAAGCTATAATATGCAATTAAAAACTGAACACCACAAATTCTAGGAATGGCTTACAGGAACAGATTTAAGGCAGTTTCGAAAAGCATGAGGGCTTTGGAATCTCAGTCAACACCTGGCACAAAGCCCTAGGGAGCCTTCTTTACTTCTACTAAGTTCAGGGAACCTAAATCAAGCACTTAGAATCAGTCAAGAGCCCACAGGCTCAGAAGACATTAAGAATGTGAAGGTACATTATAGTGTAGCCTGACCAAACAGAAAAGAGCAGCTAGGAGCTCATACTTGCCACTTTTCAGGGCTTCTGGAGTTTGCCTTTTTGCTAAATACGAGAGGTAAGATGGAAGAATTCTTGAAGTAAGACGGGGACATGTATAGTAGGACATAGTAGGTGGCTCCACAACCCACATAGTCTTAGCTGACATTGAGCCACGATTTGTCCCTGCTCATACAAAGTGAGGGTCCAAACACTATTTTCACAGGCAACAGTCAGACCTATGAACAACCCAATACTGTTTCAATGAGGTGGTTATTACCATTTTCAGCTTTGCAAACTGGGTCTTCTGCAGGCCGCTGGAAAAAAATATAAGTGTGGAAAGGTCAAGGAGAATAGAACTGACATTTTCTACACCAGGACACAAAGCATATCAATCCAGTATATATGCATTAAAAGCAGTCTTGTTTCTCGTTTCTACTTTTCCTTGTTCTATTTTGAAACCATTTATTATAAGTCTTAACCTGGGCTAAAATCTTGTATTACTGCTAGCATCACTGTCTATGGAATTCTCATTTCTCAGCGTTTTTTTATCAATAAAAAAAGAAAAAAAGCTTCTTACCTTCAAAGAACAGTCCTTCTTTTCAAAAACAAATATCGGCTGGGCAAGCACTGATTTCTCTGGAAAAGAGAAGAGGTCACTTTTATTAATAATTCAGTAACAGCACTTATCAACCACAGTTCTCAAAGTGCTGTGCAATAACAAACAGGATTTTATCCATATGTTACAAAGGAAGAAAACAGGAACTGTGGTGATACACAACACAGTTTGTAAATAAATAAATAAAAAAGCTAGAGTTCACAAATTCCAGTGTGAGCTTTGCCTAACTGGATGCCAGAGCATTTGGCCTCTTATTTTTTTACACTTTTTTTAGTTAAAAATGACAGAAAAGTGATTTTAGCTTTGTTGTTTGCAACATCTGTCATCCTTTAAGAACACAGCTGAATTACAGGCTTGATTCTCAGAAAAGTGCAAGGATGTGAAATGCAAAATGATCCCAAAAGGAAAGCAAGGAAATGTGTTACACTTGGCCTCTCAGCTACATTCACACTTCCTTTTCTTTACGCTGCAGTTAAGTGAATGCCTAGTGTCAGTTTTAATGTGTGAATATGATACATAAACATACAAAGTTCTATAGAGCACATTCTACTCTCAGGCATACCTCTGCATTTCTTAGGTATGACTGAGAACAACTTTGGATTGCTGTTTGGGGTTTTTTTTATGAAATGTATTTCAGCATACAGTTGCCTTACATCAAATTTAATGTTGATTTAGAGTTCACTACTTCTACATCTTACATGACTTCTGCGGGCTACTTAACTTTGCTAAGAATGAGACTTCCACAGTCTGTGCAACTCTAATGGACTAACCTTGGTTGTCTGTGTAAAAGTAGGAGTCGTTTTCACCAGTACCACCAATTATCAACACATTTATTATGCCAATAAATGGCACAATGATAGAGCAAAGCAGCAAACACAAATAGATTTTTTCAGACCACCTCATACAGGATTCACCTCATGCTAGCTTGAGGTGTCTGCAACATATCAAGAGAAATGATCAGCTTCTGAACATGAGCATATTTTAGCTGTGTACATTCGGAGATTAATGGAGACCTAAATGCGTGTATTTCTCTCCATGAGTGGTAAGAACAGACTAGGGCCACTGCTGAGCTGTATGACTGGCCTTCAGCCAGAGAAACCCCACACTTAGTATCTTGTTAACTGACATTTGACGGAATATTTAACACATACACACAGCTTTTGTAATACTGGCTTCCTCTGGTTTGTATTAGAATATTTACCTGTTAAACAAAACTGCCCAAGTAAAAATATATGGATTGATATTTTTATCTTGGCTTGCATACCCATCTGGGACCAAACCACTCTAGCATTGGTATCAATTACTTAAGGGTTCAATAAAGCAAATATCAACCTATCATGGAGATTTTAAAAGTACTAAATAAATATATATTCAACAACCAGGAAAAAAGTACACATTGCTAAAATAAATGCTGTGGGAATGTAAACTGGGGAAGCAGCATGACACTATTACTTAAAAAACAGTGATACAAAGACACAGCAGTAATAACTAATACAGTTCTGTTGTTATTGAAGTTAATTTTCTATTTACTTGGACATTATCTGTGTGCAAACGACTGAAATTTTTAAACTTGGCATGCTTTGCAATGAAGGGCTGGTTTGTCCTTAATAGAGCAGAAAAAAGTTCATATTGTTCAACTCTAAAAAAGATAATTCTCTGTCACTGAAAATTTAAGAAAATTTCCATAATCCAGTTGCGGCTGGGGGTCCATGGCATGGCATGAGATGGGGCAGTTCCACTTCTATTCACTAGAGGGGAGTGGCACACATAAACAATAGTATTTCACTGAAATATGATTTATTCAATATAATAAGCTTTTTTTCTGTCTCCTTTAAAAAGAAAAGGTCTTGTATTCTGATCAATGAAGGAAAAATACAAAAATAAAAGCATGACTACAGAAACCTTCATATTCTTCACAGTACCTCTCAAAGCTCAGAAGTTAGCAATATTTTCAAAAGTACATTTACTACTCCAAAGCATGGAATTATCAAAGTGAAAAAGAAACTGGCCTTCTATCACAGAGCTAAATTTTCCTGAAGCTAAAAAGCTAGAAGGAGTTTGAAGGAATCAGGAATGCTCACTACAACTTAAACAAAAGAATTCCAGTAATAGTTTAAAATCCAGAAGTTCCTGAAGAAAAATTCGGAATTGATTCATTACCAACAAAAACACATGAAGCTAAGGTATGATGCTACCTCTTAGAGATAAATATGCATATTTTGATATTGCGCTAAATATGAAAGATATGTCCCATCAACTGCTTTTGAACAAAAGGAAAACTTATTTGCCATCAGCAGATTTAGTCAGAAGTTGCTGATGCTGCCACAGTTATTTATCATTTTTACAGTTCTATAATGCTTCTACTTAAACCAAGAGAACCTTTTTGTAATCCCTCAGTATGATCTTCACTCCTCAATCAGGCCATTCATAACAGTTTTAAAAATATATTTGTGTTAACTATGTATGTATCCTATGCAGCACTTTCCAATTACTTTTTAAACATCTCAAATATTCAAGCACAAAACATCTGCAGCTTATCCCCACAGAAGAAACAACGCAGAATCACTTGTGGATGTAACACAAGTCCCTCAAGGAGTTACCACAATCTTGTCAACGTGCCAATTCTAACACTGGTGAGAAACTTTGCATTTCTCTGCTTCATTCTCTGCACTAAGGGTGCTGCTGGCAGGGTGGATGGCTGTGTGCTGGGAGAAGGAGAAGACCTTCTGCAGGCTCCTCTCCCACCAGCGGCGGGGGACACCCAGCCAGCAGTGCCCAGCTGTCCCCAGGAAGAGGCAGCAGAAGCCAAGGCTGGGTCCTGGGATGGGAACAGGGTGGGCTGGAGCCACCCCTCCTCCTCAGCACCAACAGGACCCAGACAGACACAGGCTGGCTAGTGCCTGGTTAAGACTGGGACACTCCAGTCCACAGCAGCTTGGCACTTGTGGATAAAAGAGGCTGTTGGAAAAGTTACCAGAAAAACCTGCCAAATAGGCTGCCTCTGGCTGCAGGGACTGGAATAATCCACCAGCCTCAGCCAAGAGTCCAGACACAGAACCTGTCTGCCTGCCCATGAGTAATCACCACGGATTGGGCTCTCTTTTCTTCACAACAGTCCCTATGAAACTGCTGACTTAGAAAGGTCTTGGCCTAAATGCTTGCTGCATTCAGAGTTCAAAATCAGAAATGGTGAGTTCCCTTGTTTAAGATCTTATCTGCATGGTGTCCTGGCTCCAGTCTCCTGTCCCGCGCACAAGCACTATCAAACGTGCTTTGGCCCCGAGATGGAGGGCAGCCAGGTCTCAAACTGGTGCCTGTTCTGCTCTGCTCCTCTCACCCAGCGTGGCCATCTCCGCTCCATCACTGCTCGGCGCCCCACCTGGCACCGTACACGCCAGCCAACTGCCAAATCATGGTCGTTCACATGCCCTGATGGAGACTGCCCTTACACAGCTCCATTTGAAAGGAAATAGAGGTGCATTCTGGGAAAAACAATATCTAGCTGCTGCCTAAACCTGGGAAGCACTAGTCAGGATGATATGCAAGAAATTATGTAAAAATGCTTTCACCAACTTTGCTTGTGTCCCACAAGCCAGCATCGTCCACGACGTGTATAGCTCCTTCAGCCTTTGCTGTGACATTCCACTCTTCACTTTTATGGCTATTGCTTTCCCTAAAGCTGTAAAAACTTCACATTAAAAAATACACAAGGTACTGATGGTTTTGAAAATTTGTAGTGTTGTTATTATTATTGCTCCATCTTGCCCAGAGAACAGAAAAATAAATGTTCCTTAACCTTTGAGGGCTAAGGACACAATGAACAGAAAATGAGCCCACATCCCTCTCCAATTTTCAGGCAGTCATATGCCTGAAGTCATATGTCAAAAGTGGCTGACAGTGCTGTTGCTCTATTCCTCCCAAAGCAAAGAAAAATGCTTCAAATCTTTAACAGAGTAACATAAGAATTTGTGATATCAATACAAGTTTTTTTCTGATTTTTAAGCAGTTCATTTTTATATTTTCAGATTTAAAAATAAAATAAATTCAATTGCATCTTCATCATTGGCAAACTTGTCATAAGTCTGAAAACATTTTAATTCATATTCATATTAAATACTTTCACATTTTTGTACCTAAAGTTAGAAACCTACATGCATAAAAAATAACAGTAGAAGGTTTTATATGACTCAGGATTGCCTACTCCAGTGAAAGCTGTGGATATCCATCAAATAAAAATCAAACTGATTTTATGTATGCATTAAAGTGCTAAAATGCAAGCATCAGAGTTTGACAGCAATTATGGATCTTACATATGAATTGTATTTTTCTCCTCCAGTCTTAGCAATGTCCAAGAAAAGGATGTACAGAAAATTATTTTCTCATTCAAATTCGTGTTCTGTTAAATTTGATTTCATTGCTTAGTGATCCCCTTTAGCTTATTACAAAACTGAGTAACTACTGAAGGAATTTGGCTTTCTGCGGTATCAGAAGTATGCAACGTCACCGAGATTCTTTAATTCCTGCTCAGTGACTAGACAATGATTCCTTCAGGGACTAGCCAGCCTGTGTTGAAGAAAAGTGCAACCACTTTTCCAGTAAATTAACCTAACACCCTATGAAATGCAAGGTTACACCACTTTACATGGTGTTCAAGGCTTTTCTGCCTTGTACTATGTTTTAAAATTAAGCTTAACTGAGAGCCCTATGAAAACTGTACTTAAGTATTTTACCACAGAGCTGGCAATAGGTGGTTTTTATTCTATTTGGGAAGTGAAGTGCCATTGACCAGTCAGGTGACAGGATTCTCATGTCTCTGTTTTTTCTTTTAACAGTTGCATACAGAGAATTTCTTTAAAGGCTAATGCCAATCCACTGGATTTTGCCTGAGCTTCTACTATTCCCACAACTTTATATCTTATATGCATAGCTCTTCACAAATAACTACCAATCCTGCAATCAGGTATTTCAGATTGGCTTAGCTACAAAACTGAATCCTTGACACAAAACCTGGAAAAAACCCACCCAGTAGTTCATAACTGCCAACAGAGATGTAACACTGATAACAAAGGCTGAATTGTAAAAAATAATGTTTTTCCCATAATTCCTTAAATTAAAATAACAACTTGCACCTCTTTGGTATTAGTAGCAATCCCATTTGCACCTCATAGGAAAACTTCTAACTCTAAAATAGAAACTAAAATTTTTATTTCACACAGTAAAGAAAAAGAAAATAACTTCTTAATCAAGGATCTTTTTCTCAAGTAGAGTAAGATTCTGGGAAATTGTATACTCTCCAAATAATGTCACTGACTAACAAAACCTTGAACTGCATCCAGCTTTCCCTCACAACATCCTAGTAAGTGTTACACAACGCAGAAAAAATACTACATTAAAACTTGTAATCAGATTATAATTTTATCCTATCAAAAGATAAGGCTACAACATAGTATTAGCAAGCTTCTGTGCTCTGCTACGCTATAGCATGAATTTTACTAACTGTGTATATTACTGCTATGATTTGCAAAAATAAAACCAGAAACACTTTGGCATTTTGATGTTACAGCTTAGATTAATGGTTCCCAAGTCATAGAACTCAAACAAATTAAATTATGCAATAACAACAAATTCTTGCACATAACATTGCCATTTTGTTTGTTTCACATACAAATTAGCTCAATGGGAACATGTAATTGGGGAAGATGTTGAGAAGAGAAGTAGATTTAGTGTGACTTTAGTTGCCTAAACATCCACAGAGGTAGTTTTACATTATTAAAATAGTAAGAAAAAAAAAACCAAACCACAAAAAAACAACTTGGCCTCTGCCATTTCTGAATATACGCTGTTTACAGCTATTACTTGAAAAAGACACTAAGACAAGATACTGTGCCTGGTATTCTGTGGCAATTTATGTGAAGAAAAAGAAAGCAACAACGGACTACCATGTAAAAAGCAGACGTGAATCCAAGAATTAGTAGAGTTTAAAAGAAGAAATTATTTTGACTAAGCTAGCTGATTATTTGTCCATTAACATGTTGCTATGTTTCTATGTACTAGCACAACCCATTTTTGTTCAATATGCTGTGAAAACACAGAAAATTACTTATATTTCAGATAATAAAACTGCAGTAACAGGCAAAAGAAAAACACATATATTTAAAATATGCAGTAGGATAAATTATCAAAACACTTTGCTATCCAAGCTTGGACTCATGTTTAAATATTGCTTCTGGTTTTCGGTACATAAAGACATCTGTCAGGATTTCCAGAGGTGGAACATTTTCACTTAAAAAGAGGTGAAGAAGTAGTAAAAACCTTCTAGTTAAGAACCAGATTTGCCAAACATGCAGTAGAACCACCGATTCTGTTTTATTAATACTCATTGAACTTTGCAACATAAAGCAGAGTCAGTTCACAGCCAAGTGAGAGTGTAACAAGGCCACCAGCCAACATCTCAGGTCCCTCCGTGACCTCACTACGTAAGCTGGGCTTTCTTCTGCCAAAACTTAAATAAGGAAGGTGACATAAGGCAAAATGGGGATGTCCTAGAACAGTACTTTAGGCAGACAGCTTAATAAAATTGACCAACTCTAAGATGTTCAAGAAATGCTTTTTAAGATTTCACATTGCTAATCCCGAGTGACAGGTCTGTTTCTGGAAGCCCTGAGCAGCTGTGAACTCCAGTGGAACTCACATGCACAGCTGGCTGCTCAGCACCTATGAAAAAACAGGTCACTTATTTAAAACTCTAAATATGGACCTGGAAACCTACTTTCAGATTCTCGTTTTTTATGCTTCACGCTTTTGATTTCTGCTTATGAAACATTTTCAGTAGGACAACTCCCTTAAAAATTAAGATCAGTTTTAATGTCAAGGTGGCAGGATTTTTGAACAAAATTTTTTTTTTTTTTTTGCTAAGATATCGTGAGACAAGAATGATTAATTCATTTGCATCTAAATTCATTATATGTACATGGTGGGTTTTTTTAATCAGTAAACACTGAAAACAAAACAGGAAAATAAGACAGGGTCATAATCAAATAAAATTCTAATCTGGTCAAATCTCCAGCACTAATCAGAAGAGTTTTCTATACGCAGAGTTAACAGAGACACGTGTTGCTATACAGGCAACAAATTTTCAAGTTCAGTATCTTAGTCATACTTCCAGACTTGTAAGCTAATTGAATTTTTCCTTTTAGAATACTCTTCTATTGAAGTGTCAGTGATTCAATAAATTTGCCACAAGTTCTCATGAATCTTGATTTTCCAAAATATTCAATGCAAATTGTTTTAAATAATTGGCCCAAAATCATGTGTGTTTTATGAGAAGAAACAGTTTTCAGCATTATTAAAATAAAGTACTTAAAACATATTGAGATGAAATTTTGGACAAAGCCCTTCATTTTTTTGGAAAACAATGTTATTGAGAATTTTATTTCTAGACAACTTAAACATATCCAACAGATACTTGGCACCTGGTTGTGCTTGCTACAGAAGTGACTGTACTTCAGCAGCCCATGGAGAGATCGCTGAAGACAGCACTGCATGCTGTTCAAACATTCTGTATTAAATACAAAGTGTATGTTGCTTATCTTGGGTTCAGATCACAACTTGTAAATGCAGTTTGGGGAACTGATAAATAACTTTACACATCCCTGTTTGGATCAACAAGGGAGTACCTCGTCCAAGAAGTGAGTTTCCATTTCATTGTACTCAGAAAGAGGAAAGGAAAAGTTCATCCAACTAACTATTGCAAAATAAAACTCCAGGAAGAATTTGTCCTGGGACAGCTTTACTGTACTGTCAGAGACTCCAGTCTTGCACATTCTTTGTCATACAAATAGTTCATAACCCACATAAGTAATTCCACTGTCATCAAGACCCATTGTGAGAGCAAGCGTTCCTTACCCAGGCACAGTTGCGCAGAATCAGGCGCTAACTTTTTAAGATGTCTTCACTCCCCCTCCAGTCACTCTTCTCAGTGCTACAGATTGTAAATACTGTGTTCTTGATGCATGTGGAAAGGGTTCTTTTACCCAAATTATTCTATTTACTACTCCTAGCTGCCACTGTGGAAACTTGCCATATGAGATTTAAAAATTAACATATTTCTCTTTAGCCATGGAAACTCAGCTGACAGCCTGCAAAAATGTCTATAAATACAGCATATGTCACACATTCCTGTCTGCAGAGCACGGTCCTTGTCTTTATATGGGGAAGAAATCAACAGGCATTAAAATAACAAGAAAAAAAAACCCTACCCTAGCAATACTTTAACACAATTTCTGAGAGAAATGAAACCCTGTTGGCTCTATTTCAAATTTCAGAGTGAAGAATATATTTTTGGGAGTCTCATCACTACAATGTAATTCTAGCAGTGATGCAATGACAGCAGTAACTGTGTCACTAGAGCAACAGGACTGTGCCAAAGTATGTAACCTAAAATTCTTTTACGAGCACTGAAACTTCCAATACGTTGGTGCTCAGAATTTTTAATCTGTCATAAAAGCCTGTAGATTACTCAATGCAAAGGCAATAAAATTCATAAAGCTTTACCATTTTTAGGGTATTGTAGCAATATTAAATTTCATAAATCCCTACAAAGTAGCATCGAAGTTAACACTAGGGGCGTTTGTGCAGAAATTGAACTGTACAGGTAATAAGGCCATGATCCAAAAACACTCACACAACCTTAAATTTCAGGCACATAAGTAAATCGGACTATGTGTGCTCAACACTAAGCACAGACTGAAAGGCTGGCTGACTCATAAATTAGCCCAAGCACTCTAAACGGTATCAGTCGTAGCATCAAGTTTAGACCTTGAAAGCACATGCTTCCTCATGCTGTTTTGGGTTCACTCCTCAACCTGCGTGGTAAGAAATGGTTAGTGGCATCATCTGCAAAACAGCCTTAACATTAGCGCTTGTTTCTTTATGCACCCTTTAAAAAATGTTACTATTGAAATTTCACATGAATCCTTCTCAGTTCTTGGCCCTCCTCACTGCCTCCTCACTGTACAGGATTCTGCTGTCCACCTGGGCAGTGGGGTGTCTGGCTGAGGACCCAGCCTGGCCCCATTTTGCTGTTGGTGCCCCGGTGTGTGGGACAAGGCAGGAAGGTCAAAGCCATGCCCACCTGCTGCCAAGCACAGCACCCTGGAAAGCTGCAGAAGGTTCAAACGACAGGGGAGCCAAGGCTCTCAGAAAGACAGGGGGGGGGGGAATAACACTGTGGGGTCCTCTGCAAATAGAACCCCAAACATCCACTATGTGCTAGTGTCTTTTCTTCAGCTAAAACACAAATCGGAGATTCCTGACAGACTACCACCAAAAACTTGCAACAAAGGAACTACACCCAAACTCTTGTTTCCCATCACCCGCAAAACCACCACCGACCAGGAACACTCTTTGTATTTACCCCCGTTCCCCAGACACCTCCTTGCAGGGGTGGGGGGGACACGCTGGAGACAAGCAGAAGACATCAGCCGACAAAACCTACCTATAGAGCATTCCTCCTGGGGATTTAACTTGCTGGCACCGTGGGCCTTTTGCTCTGGCAGACCACTAGCCCCAGGCTCAGCGGGCCAGCCTCTTCTGGCGGGGAGGTCCGGCAAAGCCTTCGCACCATGCCCGGCGCCCTCGTAGCCTGCGCCGCAGCGCCGTGTACCTGTACAGAAGGCATTCCCTTTGCCAGCGGGAACTGGCCGGTTTCTCATGGTGAGCTCCTCAGAAGTACCTTTATATCGAGATTATATATATATATATATATATATATGTCGTGCGTGTGTGTATATATATATATATATGTATATAAGCGCCGAAGTTGGGTCTAGAACTTTGGATTTCGGCTCATTAGCGGTCCGCCAGGCCACCCTCCCTCAA